TGTATAAATATTATTTTATTATATCGAAAGTTAATTGGACAAGAATAACACATGTGGAATTAGACTGTATGCTATTTTTAATTCCATCGAAGTACCTTTGCTAGTAAGAAGTCCTTCGCCTAACCAAGGTTTCAAAAGTTTATAATTGAAGCCTTTCACGATATGTTTCGTGCTGTTTAGTATTTTCTAAAACCATGCATTAGACAAAATTAAAAATTATGTTGTTATTACCGACATTTGGAGTTAAAAAATGGAATACAAATATGTTACGCTAAGGATTATGTATACTATGTTAAGTAAAAACTGTAGACATTTAATCATCGGTAATGAAAATGCTATACGACCGAGATGAAATTATTTTCTACGACAATTTCATTACTTCCATGTGATCTGGAGTGCAAATGCAAATGTTGGGTATACCGAAAATCCAATATTTTAAAATTGGATATGTGCTCATAAAACTCCGTAAATAATACCACATTTTCTCTGAAATATAAAGAATATTAATATATAATTCTTTAATACTACATGACTATTCTTTTCGATTAATCAGCTATTTGATCACCATTAATATCTTACATTTCAATAATGTCTGTTATGGAATTTTGTTTGTGATTAGCAGAACTCATTTAATTCTCAATACATGATGATTAACATATCGGTCACAAATCATTGAAGATTTTATTACCTGGTGAGGCGTTCCAAGCTTGTAAATTGCCTAAAATAGGAAGTGCCATTGGTCCTGGTATACGATCAATAAGTCGTACGTTTCTTCCAAGATGTATAATGTAATGATATAATAGCGCAAGAAAGAGGCATGTTAGCAGTAAGGCGACAATCATGTTGATTAAAATAATGACTCTTAAAACTTCTTTCGTTCGCTTTATGGCCTTTATGTCCTACGCTACGACATGAAAAATGAAATATTATTTTATGAGAAGCAGTCCGCGATGATCTATAATGTCGAAACGTACATTTTACATATATACATATATATATATA